AGCCACAATCGCTTTTAGTCTCCAACATTCTCCCAGTATTTTCTACTTGTCGGAAAACACATTGATCATATCGGTTTTTGTTTGCAGAGATCTCAAAAGAAGAAAAGGGACATCTCTGAAGAATCATCACCGCTACCTTCCTTGTGTACCCGATCAGCAATTGTAGGTCTACCCTATTCTCACCTGTTTTTTAGTCACTTATCTTGGTTCTCGTTCATAATAGGATATTTTTGCAGCGTATAGGATGAATGGTAAAAAGTGCCTCGCCTATCTCGAAGGAAGTCGAACCATAGGTATGTTCTATGTTAAATGTTAAACAAGCTTGCATTTAAGCCACTAGTCTCAGATCATTTCTACCTGGAGTATGAGCACATCACTGCGCAGAGCATACCGATATACTTCACACTACCGATACTTCACACTATGACATTCGTATACTTTGCAAACCCTCATTTCTCTACTAATCAAATGATAAGCTGTCTATGCTTTTTCACTTATGATGATGAGCTGTCTTCACTTTTTCACATTTTCCTTGTTCTAGGAGCATATTGTGAGTAATCATCGTCACAAGTTATTCTTTTGTTCACGAACCGTCTGTTCACAAAAGACCGTAACAACTTGTCATCTGAGATGTAACCACATTCGCATAGAAAGAAGTAAATGAAATTTATTGAACGGTGATGAGTACATCAGCGGACATAGGTGATGTACGTTTCGGAGATGGCTTGCTGAACAGTGCGATGTACTCATCACCGTTCAATAAATTTCATTTACTTCTTTCTGTGCGAATGTGGTCACATCTCAGATGATGTACGTTTCGGAGATGGCTCGCTGAACAGTGCGCTTTTGACGTCCGTTATCTGTCTCCTTCCGTCCTTCCGGAACCCTTTAGCAAAAGGGTTGTGAGAAATTCTGCGTTGTGTCACTTCGTTGTTTTGATAGCGGGTTGCAGCAATGAACGCTGTGTATTCGAACCTGAACAGAAGCATTAGTAGTTTTCGCATGGAATATTCATAAAAAACAAGTGCAGTAGAAGGCTTTAGAACGAAAAATTACTCGTTAGAAAGCCAATGAAGTCGTATTTCAAGAAATGATCAACCAATTCACAAGCTTGCTGTTGCTAGTTTCTAGGAGAAGCAGAGTATTATTTAGAATTTCCATATCGAGAAGGTTGTCAAAGTTGCGTAAATCCTAGGCTACAATTCTTTACCGTACACCATGCTTCATTCGGATAGTGTGGGACACTTGTCTGAATGACCTTGTTACAAGACTTTGCGTGACTAGAAGTAACGTATAAAATGGCTAAACCACTGTGAACCTACCCATTGGCGTTCTTAACGGCTAATCGGCTCAATGGCCAATGGCAAAACTGAGTACGCAAACAATAACCTTTGCACTATGGGAAAACGCTCATCGCCTTATTATGAAGTTCAGTCCTATTAGCAGTGATGCATTTGACGAGATTTGTCAAAATATTTGGTTTATGGATGAGAAGAGCACGCGCCAATAAGCCCGACAAAGTTACATATCAGAAATTGAAGGACTAGTCATCCTCCTGACTTTCACTCGATTGAATGATACCAACTTGCTCATCCAAGCTCGCCCGGTGTCCACGGCACCGTCATGATGAGGAATATGCGAAATGGTGTTCGCGCTTCTCCCCTGCCGTTTGTAGACCAGTCACCTGCATTGAAATTATACCTGGAGATAGAATACCTTTACCAGAATACCTTGACTACCATGCGGATAAAAGTAATGTTTCTGCTAAGCTAATCTTTGTCTCGTGAGATAAAACTGATTTGGACCCTTGTCGAGCTTGCCCCGCGAGTGAATAAATGACAGCTTCCTGTCAATTCAGTGGAGAGGGCGTCAAAGTTAAAATTACGCACACCGGTCTGAACTCCAAGAGCTCCGCTGATGAAACTTTGAAGAAGCTTCTTACTGTAACTCATTCCCCACAACTGTTCTTGAACTCCTGACCCGTGGCTGTAACTCGATTCTCGAGAGTACTTTCACAAGAATTAGCATAGTCAAGAGAGAGAGTTGGGTGATTTTAGAATCATCCCATTAGGCGTTAAAGAAGTCAGAACTATCATACAGTGCCAATGCGCATTGCGGATGCTTATGTCGTCAAGTACAACGTAGATTGTGTGCGCGCGCCGATAATGCATCTCATTTGACGCGCTGTCCCGATTACGGTAACATCAGCCTAATGCTGAAGTTACATTCTTGTGTCTTGAATTCACGGTACTGACTTCACATTTTAGTACTATATTATGGTATGGTATTATGGAGTTCGTTTTCACACGATGATTCTTTTCGTGTTATTTTTTGAAGGCCAATTTTAGGACTTCAGTCTTACATTCAAGGAACCCTTTTCTGGGGAAAGGGGTGTGATGGAATTCCATTCGGTTTTCCATTCGAAAAAAAAATTTCAAATAACTTGAGTCCGATGATTTCGGCTGCCATTTTTTCACAATCTAATGTGATGCTTGTCATATTGTCGGAATTGATGAGTACTGCTTTCCCTCCACGTGCTACTATTCTTAAGTCAGTGATGAATCTCATTGCGCCTGAATTATTGACAAGTGTGCCGTCGAGTCTTTTTCAGTGCCTTCGCTGCTAAGCATGCCAAATGGGCCGGCTACGTCGATGCCGACATATAGAAGATGGCGTGTCGGTTTGGTCCGCGAATGCGGCAGTGGCGGAGTTTAGGCAGAAGAAAGGTTTTGAATTCCATTTTTTTGCAAGTGAGACATGATCTCAAGCACTCTGGATCGTTTGGCACCCATCTGGAACCATAATATAGCCGTACACTGACAAATTTTTATTGACGCCATGATGTCCGCAACGACTGTGGATCTCTTGGATTTGAATGTGCTGCTTGTAGCACATTGCGCTGCACGTGGATGAGTACTTTGCGTCTATGAGAGCAGATCTTTTTCACTTCCCAAAAATTTCAAAAATTTCGGGTGTTGAGGATCTTTCTCCAGTTGGATTCTTTCTTGGTTTTGCTGACGGCTCATTTGTATCAAGTTGCATTCTGTACACTGTATTCAAGCACAAGTAAAGTTCAGCAGGGTGAAGCTAATACATATTTTTGGCGTATTCGTACGACTTGCCTGCTCACATTTCAACACATCCCATGGTGAAAGTTCATATATACGCTGGCCACATAAAAATATACGGCCTTCTTCGCCAGGGAACCTATTGAGATTTTCGCTACGCTTTAACTCGTTCTATACACATATACACAATATGAAGGGATGGGAGGTGTCGCGGAAATCTAGCGAATTCAAATGTGCTCCACATCGACGAGGCAGAAGCATTCCACACACGTTCATTGATGTGACCATGCAGTCTGCATATGAAATGCAAGATCTTGAATCTCATAAATACAGATCTGAATTTTGAACCTCGTATTAATTTAGTCGTTCGTAGAGCTTTTGACGCCATAGTTACCATCTTTAGAAATATCCTGTGACCGACAAGACAGTTTGTCTAAAGCTATATGAAGCCCATGTAATCCCAAATTTGGAGCCTCATGACAAAAAACTGCAGATGAGGCTCAAGAAAGTTCAACAGATCTTCACGAAAATTATCCTGCATAAATGTAATTCCAGCTCACTCAGGTTGTATCCTTTCTATAGGGACCGCCTGCTCCAGTCCAGTGTTTTCAATGACCTGATCTTTTGCTTCAAAATACTTGAAGATGAATCCAAGTTGAAAGCAGGCATCTACTAGGTGATTAGACCCAGAGCGCACTTTTTCGATGTCTTTGCAATGCCCTGCAATGTCACGGAGTCAGATTACCAAAGTTTGCAATTCCTTATCCTTCTGTGGTGCGAGATGGACTCATCTTTGCCACTGTGATCCAACAAGCACCAATGTCAATGTCCTCAAAAGTAGATTGAGGAAATTCAACTTGCTAGAACTTTTTGGTATTCGAGATTTTCGAGGTTGAAAATTTGTTACGGCATCCGTCCTTCACACTCTCAAGCCGACTGGCAACGCAAGAGCTGAACCTACAATGTTTCTCTTAGCTTACGGTGCGGGTTCTAGTCCCGCTTGCGAAAGTTTTTCAACAACCCAGCATTCTTCAGTGAAATAATTCAGCAAGGCGAACTGCGGCCAACAACAGCAGCTACCAATCCAAAACAAGTCAAAATTTCTTAGCTTAACTTCTTGACTGCTTTCCTTTCTCTATTTTCTTCCTTTGCATCATGGTATTTTAAGCTAGATGATTTAATTCTTTGTAGTGAATTGTTCTCAGTGCTTGATAACGAGCTCTTCAGCTCTGATTCCACACGTGCGCTTCTTGCACGTGGTGCACGCCTACGTGCAGTATTCTCCATAGCGTCATCTGCTCAGTGATTTATATTTACTGTTTAGCGATTTTGAACATATTTTGCCCGAGTACAACTTGACATGATCTACAATACCTTTCACCTTGGAATTTGTGGAGTGGAGCTCAGGTTGTTGTTCCTTTAGACAGAATCTTCTTATGATATCCGAGTGTGCCTAGTTAGCAGTTAGCGCTATGTATTTCTAATTATTGATGTTTTGTTTGAGTTAGCACAGCGCTTCGTAAATAAATAATAAATCAAAGAAAATAAGTAAAAAACTCTCTTATCGGCTTGCTGTTTGCAGGCAGGTCCATGAGTTGTACTTATTTATCTCATTGTTTGTGATGAGTTTCGCTAGTTAGTCATTTACTGAATACCTGTTTTAGATAAATGAGATATACTCGATGTGTGATCTCGGGAGTCGTTTGTAAGAGTCACACTGTTTACTTAAAGATTGTCATTGAGTAGTGTTTTTAAGCCGTTGTCATATTACTGTTTTCGATGGCATAACTTCTTGAAATTACTAATATGGGGGGTGTGTGGGTATTCTTAAATAGGCGAGAAGCGACATTCTCGAATGGTATCGAAAGAAATTCTAAGCCGACACTAGATTCTTTTCTATTTTCATGTTTAGATTATTGTGGGTATATTTAGAAAACACAGGTAAAGTCAACGGCGCCCTCCTTCGGTTTCTTTAGGTGCGCGGCTGATGCCGCTCTCGTCAAACCTGACTGATGCTTGAAATTGGACCGCGCCACATACTATGATATCTTGTTTATTTATTGACTGATTGAACCAGCTGCCACTTTCCAATTTATTTTTTTTTTGCCATGTTGTTCAAGCCAGTTCTGCTGGCAGTGATGCCTGTCAGACTGGAGTACAAATTAAACTTGTGATCGATCTTTCTTCGCTTTTCGGTTCTCAGATAAAGCCGTATAAGTTAGACTACGAGTGCGAATGGTTATAGACCTTGTACTGATCATAACATCTGCAAAATCACGCGAGAGATTTTTCGTAGCGAATGGTAACCTCTGCGCCTGAGTGAAGTTTAGTTTTTTTTTCTTGCAGGATTTCCTTAACTCTGTCCGATCTTTCTCACACTAACAATATTCTTAACTAAGTACCCTTTCCTTGTCGCTATTATAGTTATTAATATGATGTTTGATGTATGTTAATCTCGAAAAAAGGCAGACAGGGCGTAACAAATAACACACAAAAAGCTTACTCATCTTCACTTTTTGACAAAACTGTCCCAGCCTTTGAGATGATTTGATGACAGAAACAATGCCTTTTACCTTTCACTTCGTGAATAAACTTTCAGTTCACTCACGTGGAACAGCACCTGTCGGAGAATTACGTTTTAAATAAGGTTCCATCTCCGAGCACGATTTGATGGGACTGTTCCATTCTCTCGAGAAGCGCCGTTTATCTGGATTCGTAAGCACAGAAGATCTTCAAGGGTTCGATTTCACTCCATATCCTGCAGATTGCTCAAAGAAATCGTTACTCCAAAGCAATCTCGGCCCAAAATCCGTGCAGTGGGACTGCTGTTACCTCTTTCACGATACTTGCTATCATTTGCCTTTATAGATCCTGATAACAAGTTCTCTCTTGTTTTCACATGGAATTGCTGGCAACATAAAAAAGTTCAAAAGAGCAGAAAAGAAAAGCAACAAGCTAGGCCGATGTCAGACTTTGCGAATCGCGCGATTCGCTAGCGTCTGCGGTCGCGTCGCGGCCAGTGAATCACTCAATTGGCTGGTACCGCAACGCGACCGCGGACGCTAGCGAATCGCGCGATTCGCAAAGTCTGACATCGGCCTATAGGGTGGAGGTATAACTGTGCGGGTTAGGCCAGCGCGGCTTTTTTGAAAAATTGCAGAAAAACTTCTTTCAAATTTCAAAGAACTTTGAGTTTGAGTGTGAAAAAAAAGCACTTATACCTAGAACATTTTCCAAATAGTCTTCTATGAATAAAAGTTAGGACGAGAGTTTCGCAAAGCTTATAGGTGGATGTGTGATTATGCGAAGCAGTATATATTTGTACCATTTTACATTTTTGAGCTCTTTAGCATTGCCTTCGTTTTGTACCTCCTTTCTTGTTGTCAGTGTTTTTTCTTCTCTTCCTCTTCTCTGTGAGTGCATTGCCGATTGCGTTGTTGAGTTTCGTGGGACACGTCTACATTTTATAGGATCATTTATTCTGCGCCAGAACGTCTCCACAAGAAAATTGCCTCGAAACCAATTCGGAATATCTATTGTCAACAATAAAACAGTCAAAAAGACCGCTTTTTTCCTCATAAATTCTTGTTGAACAAAATCAAACGAGTTTATTGATAACCAAATAAACGACTCTATAGACGATCTACTTAAACCTCTTCATCTTATGCCATCATGCTACACGATAAGAGGTAATCGACAAAGGTCAGTATAGAAAGAAGTAATGAGCTAAGTGACGTTGGAGCGTCAGCACCTATTCCAAAACGGCTCATATTAGATAACTCATTGAGAGAACCTTACGAGACGCTCTATGACGGATGAAATCGGAAGAAAAGAGGTGAAGACCTTCATAACAAAACTACAATTATATTTGACGAGAATTGAGACACACAGCAACAGTGAAATATTTGACCAAAAAGGGTGAGCAACCAGGACTTAAGAGATTTTCGGAGAGTTTTGAAATACCATCTTGAAGGCCATCACGCCCTTACCAGAGGAGCAACAAATAAAAGTATTCGCATCGTAACTGCAGGCGGTAGACGAGCCGCCACACGCCCGTAAAAGAGTGAAGGAGCAAGGAAACCGTGTAATTTTTACAGAATATTTCAATTCGGCTGTGTATGAGCAAAAGGTTGTGAACAGGAAGGCTTATTCACGCCGAACTATACTGATTTCACGAATTGTGGCCTGGGCCATTGCTCCGAGAAGCACTTCCGGGCAGGAGACGAAGGCGATGTTCGTATTGTTGTGCGATCCACACAGATCACGAACCTGAAAAAAGAAAACTATAATACAAGCTGTTTTTAACATCCATTTAACGTCTGAAAGGAAAAGAGAAGCTTGCGATTAAAAAGACTAGAAAAATGAAGTTTATGACGATTTGAGCTCATTTGTTCACGGGATTTGAATAGCTTACTAGCCTGAAAGATCGCGTTCCTTTCTATCCAAGTTCGTTCACTTCTCGTGTTTTTGTAATGAAAGGACCACCTTAAGGGGAATTCACGATAAGAACGAAGGTCAAAGAAGGGGAAAATTGCATAGTTGGGAGACAGGCGGACCTCCTGAGGGTGCTGACCGACGCGCAATTGGCAGCGAAAGATTTGACCTCGGCGATCTAGCATGGCTCACTCTTGGCGCGGTTGGCGGGTACGCCCACCGACTATCTAATCACTCGCCGGGTCTATACGTGGCGAGTGATTAGATAGCAGAGAGAGCGTAGTGTTGAAGAGGGCACAGCGATGAGAGTCGCATCAATGCGCAAATCAACGGGCAAGGAAGGGGTCCCATTTCTCGGGTTTCGGGCCGTTTCAAATGGTTTCTTCTTCATCCCTGCTCCACTGACCACCTCTACCCTTATTTCCAATGAGCTAATTTCATCGTAAATTCTGTTTTCAATTGAATAATGCCTTTTTTTCAAACTGAAGAACTTAGTGTGCGTGCCTGCCTACCTCCCAAATTTGGTTCACCTTGAGTTCTAAAAAAGCGCAAAGACCGTGGAATAGTGGACAAGGGCTGGCGAAGGAGGAGAGGTCAAATGGTATTCATGGGCGGGGGGGGGCACCGAGGCGGATGCGGTTTTTTCACAAAACTTATGATTCGTTTTCGAGTAAGGGTCTCCGGACTGCCTCTAACAAAGATCACAAGTTACATGCTTGTCATTGGCGAACTTAAGATGAACTGTGCGAATTCGCATACATATGTTGTATGTGGTAAAGTTCATGTGAGGTGAGTAAAACACGTATCGTGAGACCGAGAGACCGAAGGATAGAAGGAAGAAGAAAAGCGCGCACCGAACTAGGCTAGGCGTGTCTTGAGGTGAGCGAACTTATGACAAGGAACTCAAAATTCGAACTGGACTATCGGTAAGGAAATCGGCGTATGTAGATTAACGAAGAAAGAGAGATCAAATATTGGTGGTAGGTGGAGACAATTCGACAACGCGCCAAGCACCATATCGCCAAGGAATCGTCAAGTGCGCGCGACGGCGCGGAGCCAAAACGAATGATACATGGATGCAGCTATAGAAGTCACTGTTGCAGGCATACTGAAGATCAATCTTGGAGTGAACGCTTTTCACCCAACCAAGTCTGGCATTATTTCGATGTCGGCCAATAGCATCAGACTATGCAGTTTAGGAAAAACAAACGTTGGCATTCAGATTAGCTTGCCTACGCCAAAACGAGTTTTCATGTGTCAGTATTTTAAATGGATATCAAGGGCGTGGCAAATCTCAAGGTTGATTAAACTGGAGCCAAGCGCTTATGTTTACTCCAATTCATTCCATTAAAGGAATCTTCCACGGAAAAAGCTCCGCCCTCATTACCACAGAAAACGATACCTTAAAGGAATCTTCCACGGAAAGAGTGATCATTTTGTCTTGTGTGTAGGATTAGTATTATCGAAACTAACGCTTATGTTCCGTTCTTTTTGCTATGCTCATGAGGCTAGGGGCCTAAGGGTATCGTTTTTCTGTGGTAATGGAGGCGGAGCTTTTTCCGCGGAAGATTCCTTTAAAGGTTTATCGATCGACGCTTGCAGAATCTCCTTTCATCGTTACGATATTTAAAGCAACAGTCCAAGAACGAATTCAAAAAACCACCGATAATGAAGTTGTGGGTGCAAAGTTGACCAATAATGAAAGAAAAGTTTCAAAAAAGACGTCGAACAGGGACTTAGACAGGGGCTCCCCCTCGCCACTTAGCAATGGAGGAAGACGCTCTTGGACGAGTTGTATGAACATGCCCGCAGTAAATGCGCCCCAATTGCAATAGCTGGCAATAGCTGGCTACTTGCCAGCTATTGCCAGCTATTGCAACTGGGGCGCAATAATGGGATCGTTTCATGTTTTGAAGGTAGAAGGTAGAAGGAAAAAATGTAGAAATTCAGCGTTGTCGGCATCACTACATCGATTGCTTTAAAGGATCGACCTCAAATAGACCCAGCACCGCGCTCTTCACAGCAGCAAGGGGGCGGCTCCACCGAGGCTCGGTGGACCCGCCCTTTTCGAAGAAGTTCGAGCCCTTCCTACGCATTTCAAAGGTAAGTTTTTAATTCAGTGACAGTTCCTATGAACTTTACTTGGGCTGGGGCATGCTTCCACACCTCAGGATTGAATTGGTTGAAACCCTCCTTGGACTGTTGCTTTAAAGAGGTTGCGTACGATTCCGTTGATAGACTCAATCGTTATTTTGAGCTTTGTTCACAAGCCAGCATTCTTGTGAAGCAATAACCAGAAAAAAACACAAAGTTTCTCAGAGCAGCTTCCCGCGCTAGAAGGTCACTCCAAAAAGTCGGATTCAAAGAAAAGACCCATTCATATGCACAACAACCATATCAATCAATCGGAAGTGGTTTGAAGAATAAAGCAATAACAGCTACCTTTTGTTGAAGTGGTTCATCGGTAGTGACCCATATCGTGTAAACACCTGAGGGATTCCGCTTGAGGCATTCCTCCAACATGGGTAAATCAGTTGATGAGTCACCACATACCAGTATATTTCCATCCTGGAATAAATGTGTTTCAACATTTTCTGCACAACAACAATGAGATTATTAGGTGACAACTGTCCACAAAATTTCGGGATGGTTTTTGCAATTATCCTGAAACCACAAATGTACAGGGGCCAATGAAAAAAGACATTTTGTCTCTGCATTTGAAAGGATCAAGTCACTCTCTGCTAATTCAAACCGAATGCTTCCAACATAGAATTTCAGAGCATATTCCATTACGTAGAAAGTTCCATAATGGCCTTCTGAATGGACGGTATCAGAAAAATTCGCCCCGAAAACATGGAGTATAGGCCCAGCTGGATCTTCGAATAATTGTGTATCATTTCAAGGTATTCTGAAACGGTGGTAGGGAGCGGGTTTCCATAGTCAAAGATGGTTTTTTTAAGAAACTATCCAACAGTGAATCGATTCAAGAAATTTGTAAGAGCTTCAGGCTGAAGCAGTTACGGTAGGCCTCCTTGAGCTCGACGACGTGACAGATGACGTCATATTCTGAAGACGGTGAGGGCAGTGAAGGAGGGCCTGCACTTACACCTATAGAGAGACATTCGAGGAGTATTTGCTGTAAGATTTCCACCAAAGACGGCAATATTTGTGAAGAAAAAAATCGCTGGTGTTCGACACGGGCAAGAAGTCTTTTTCTGCCCCCTTTTTCTGCCTCCCACACTCCCACCTGTGTGTACTGGGTTGTATGGGAAGTCTCCTCCGCTAAAAGTAGCATATTTTCGACTAAGTCGTGATATCAACTGCGCATTTGGCAATGAATCCACGGAAAAATGATGTGCGGCCATGGTTCAGAATGTCTTTCTCGCGATGGAGAAAGCTTCGAGGAAGATTAATGAAGGCCGGATATCAAAGACATATGTGTTCGGAGTTGTTGAGCAGATTGCTTCTGAATACGGCGTAACCAATGAGGTTTCCGATATAAGGTGAGGGTAAAAATCCAAAGAAGCGACAAGTGTCTGCCGCCGTCCTTCCTCTCCGATGCGCAGCTCCATCTCGTACTTGTAACTGTCCACAAATTCAAAAAATGTGCAGCGTATATTTCACAAACAGGCCACTTTTTATCGCTATTACACTTCCACCCATATAAATAGTCTATCCAAGGGAATCAAGTCCAGAAGCCTAACACGATGATGAGACGACATTCGGCGACTTCTAGCCTATGGAGCTCCAGCGCTTTCAACATTCGAATCCTTAAATTCTCTCATTATTGGCATGGGTAAGTGGACTGTAATAGTTTTTATTTCAATCCCGAATGTTTTGTGTGAACCGATGGGTTGGATTTCGTAGTCATCGGCGGGAACTTTTCGAACAACCCGGTAGTACACCCTCCTTGTATTACAAATGCCTTGTGAGTCTCCACTTCCCCAGTACTTTTTGACAAGAAATGTTACCTCACAGAGTCTTCTGTGTTTATAACCGATCTTGAAAAAAACTACATCTAGAATAGAAAATAGAACAATTGGGAAAACGGCAAGCATTGTTACCTTGAGGTCACATTTCATCTTCTCGCATAACATCCGTATACCATGGCCCTTGTTGAAAGGTTCTTCAGTACCTTTTCCCTGAAATTACTCGTTCTTTCAAATGCCTGATTCATTTTGTGAACTGTGCACAGCCGACTTCTCAATGCGTACAGAAAGAAGAGCTTTCGAAAAGAAAAGAGAGTGCGGTGGCATTGAAGAAACACATTATTAGTCAACTACTTTTCTAGATTTCATTTTTCGGCGCCGGTACAGTTAGGAGGGGCATCTTTGTGATTTCATAGGGTTAAGAGGGAGGGAGGAACCTTGGAGAAAATAAAAATTGCTTGCACACTTTCCTATCTGAGGCTTGGTCCTGGATGGGACTAGCGGAAGGGAGTGTTGGGTGTATGGGCTCTCTGCATAACGATGCCCCCTCAAGTATACCAGCGGCAATTTTTCACATTACACATTACACTGGTGTGCAAAACTTAGGGACGAACGTAGCTTTTCCAACGACGTGTTACTGGCGCGTAACATGACTCTATGGAACCTAACCACACATACAAAGAGCTGCCACAGGGCACTAAAGAAAGCAGTTAACAGGAACCGTTAAACGGTCCACAAAGCTATCAAAAGGTTATGATACTTCATCTGTCTCGTCCTTAAGTTTTGCACACCAGTGTATTATCAATCACGTGAAGCAAAATGAGGAAAAAAACTTTTTAATTGAAGTGAAGAAATACTTGGAGAAGTGATTAGACTGATTCCGCAGCGCATTACCTAGAAAGCATCTCATTTACTCCTAATGAAAACTCCTCAATTCATTTCGAGCTATAGTAGGCGAAAGTAACCCATAAGAACGTGAGAAACGGCCATATCAGGTCTTCTGTATAATAGAGCAGAAAGTTGTTTGTGTCTCTCCGTCCAAATCGCTAAGCAGAAAAAACATATTGGTATCCGTTACCTTGTTTCGTGTGGGTACTTCTCAATTTTCGCTAAGCGTTCAAAATGCGTGACGCTAACTAAGTAGGCATTGACACCTACGGCAAGATCACAGATTTGAGATGAGAAAGTTTACCTAAACCGGACTTTCTTACTTGAAAGGGGATAGACTATACGGTAATAGTATCGAGAAACGAGGCTTTGTCGTGGCTTTTCGATACCAACCCACCGAAGAAAAAATAATTGAGAACCTGTAGGACAAAGTTCCAAATCCTGGCCATGGGGTCGAAAAAGCCACCTGTGGGGATTTTGAAATTTATAAAGGGAAGCCGCGTGCTCCTCAACTTG